TTGGATGATGCATGGGCCTGGGACGTGGGTGTTGAAATCTATGTCAACCAATAACATAATAGAGAAATACTACTTCTTATTTAAGTTCCAAAAAAAACGATTGGAAAAAATTCTACGTATTAAAAAAAGTAGAATTAATAATGCTAAAGTTTTTTTGATAATTAATGAATTGAACTAAGTAGATTGGAACGTAGATTCCCGAGAGGTCGTTGTCGTGACATGGAGTGGCTGTGGTTTTGCTTCGTCGCTCGCTAAGACACCAACAAAATGTAAAGTACTGAAGTGTCAGACAGAGGAGCATGCCCATCACGAGGGATCACGTGAACTTCACGCATTTTCTTCCTCCCTTTTAGGGTTTCGGGCCCATTTTATTCAACGCGATCCAAAAGAAAAAAGAGTTACAACAAATATATAATGGTGTTGGTTGATCATAATTCAAATTTTTTGAATATGTGTTCTCTTTTTTTTTTCCTCGTTTGGTTTGTGACTTTCTGTAAGTAGTTTAAAGCGTAATTTATGTTAGTTTTCGGGACAATTTATGTTGTAATTATTGGAGATTTTTAATATTTATCAACGAAATAATGTGGACCAATATTTTAGCAAAAACAATAATAATGTGGACCTATACCATCGCACCTGCTCGGTGTATGGGTGATGGAGACGTGACTCTAAAATTCCAATAAATGTGTCGTGGGGTTACACAAAACAAAAAACTGATTCGTTACTAGTATTGGCCTAGGACCCATAGACCCACGTGGGATTTTGTGGATAAAAACCCTAAATGATTTTTTTTCCTTTTCCAAAGCAACCCCTAGTATTAATAGTAGGTTTTTATTTATAGAAAAAAAAACAACAAACACACAGCTCAATATCATGTGATTCTGCAATGTATTGTATATATAGAACTACCATAAACCACATAAACACTCACAAAGTGTTGATATTTAGATAAGTTATATTTCATTATCGTTTGTGACGAATAGTTATGGGAATCGCCTAGAACCTAAATAATCAACGTCTTTAAATGTCTTTAATTGATTTAGGATTCTTTATTTCAATGACATTGCTGCTTATAGAACTTTTGATTTTCTTAGAATTTTGAATATGACGAACCATTTTTTATCGACAGTTTAAGAAAAGAGTGATGGTCGACTGTTTTCGGACATTTAGAGACGGTCTATTTTTGCTATATTTAAAGATGATTGGACATCCGATATTTAAATTTTAATACACAAATAATGAAGCATAACGACGACTATTC